AAGTATTGTTTTTTGTTTTTAATGTTCACTGATTTGTTTCATGAACAAACGATAGTAACTGTAACGTATAGCAAATGCTCAATAAATTTTTAAATTAACAATGAATTTAAAAATGTCAGCTTTTTTTGAAACCTTCAATCTTTTACTGTAAATAAAGTACTGCTTTTTTTCATAGTGCTAATGTTTGGGAATTGTGAAAGATGATGCAGGGGCTTAGTGGTTATTGAATGAATGAAATACAGAAGAACATAATGGAAAAAAACAGATCCACTAGGAGTCTGGACACAATGATGTAGCTCAACAAAATATTTGCCTTCAGGTCCTCCCTGAAGAATGGAGACTGAAGGATTCACTTAATATAAAGAATCAAAAATCATTAATAATTCAATACCCAGAGATACTCTTGTTAAATATTTTCTCCATGCATTGAATTAGACTCATGTGTATACACACATAGGCATGTGTATTTAAACAAAATAGAATTGTATTGGTTGAAATTTTTTCTGATTGTTTTCTCAATCCTCTTCATTTCATCAGTATACACATGATTTTAGTGAACACATCACATTTATTTTATGGGAATAGCATGACTGCTTTAAAACTCCTATGCTGGACATTTACATTGATTTCAGTATTTTTATTTTATAAACAATGCCATGGTTAACATGATTTGAGCACCATTGTGTACTATCAGAATTGTCATTTTGAGATGAATTTCTAAAGTATATGCAAAATTTGAGATTGCTGAGGTCTACTGCAAAAGGAGCTCCCAGAAAGTATGTGTTTATCATTCCCATAAGCAATGTCTGAGAGAATATTTCCTTAACATCCGTGATTCACACTGAGTACCAGACTGCAAGTTAGATTCTAATTTAATGTGTTACATCCTGATATTTATTTTATGATTTCTGACTCCTGATCCAATGTCTAGTAAATGATTCTAAAAAAAAAAAAAAGAAGATAGAGAGATCTTCCATCTGCTGGTTCACTCCCCAAGTGGCCACAATGGCTGGGGCTAGGCAGGGTGAAGCCAGAAGCAAAGAGCTTCATCTGGGTCTCCCACATGAGTGCAGGAACCCATAGCACCACCTTCTTCTACTTTTCCCAGGCCATTATCAGGGAGCTGGATCGGACTCGAAGCAACCAGGGCTTGAACCAGTGCTCACATGGGTTGCTGGCATTTAAGGCAATGGCTTAACCCGTTATGCTACAACACCAGCCCTGCCTATTATTTCTTCTAATTTTTATAAGTTGTCCTTTTATACAATAGAAATAATAAATTCCACCAGAAATTAATCTTAATCATGTTGTAAGTCAATAGTATAGGCCAGCGCCTCGGCTCAATAGGCTAGTCCTCTGCCTGTGGCGCCGGCACACCGGGTTCTAGTCCCGGTTGGGGCGCCGGATTCTGTCCTGGTTGCCCCTCTTCCAGGCCAGCTCTCTGCTATGGCCCGGGAGTGCAGTGGAGGATGGCCCAAGTGCTTAGGCCCTGCACCCACATGGGAGACCAGGAGAAGCACCTGGCTTCGAATCAGCACCCATGCGCTGGCTGCAGCGTGCCAGCCACAGTGGCCATTGGGGGTGAACCAACGGCAAAAGGAAGACCTTTCTCTCTGTCTCTCTCTCTCTCTCTCACTGTCCACTCTGCCTGTCAAAAAATAAAATAAAAAAAATAAATAAAAAGTAAGTCAATAGTATAGGCATCTTCTAATTTTCAGAAGGATACTTAGTTGTTTAATACATTAATACTCTTTTATCCTCATGACACATAGGATAAATTAAATGAATATTTATATTTATGTTTATATTTCTGGATACTGCTTTTTTTCTGTTGGTCTATCTACTTTTCCTTAACTATAACATCAGCTTAATTATTTAAACTTGGACCTTCATCCATATTACCCTGTAAGATTATGGGTTACTTCTCTTGAAAGGTGCTAAAGTTAGGTAGCTAGGTAGACATTAGCCTATGTGTGCATGAGGGTCCAAAGAAAATGGGAATTTTTTGAAGAAAAATAAGAATATCTGTGGATGAATAAGGGAAGAAATATCCAAGCAAGCCTTGGGAAAAGACCAGAATTAGATATCTAAAGTGTTGCTTTTGTTCAATAACCTTGTTCAGTGGGTCTTTTGTGTGACTGCATAAGGAAGAAATAGAGTAGCAAACTATGATTTACATATCAAATATCTTGTAATCATTCAATAACCTAGTTGGGTAGGTCCCAACCCTCTCCCTGGGGCAACTTAGAGGAATCCCCCCCACTCTACAGCAAGCATCCAGTAGGAAGTTTTGGTAGGAATTTGAGGAATCTCATGCCCAGGAAGCTTTCCACCCAATAACATCCCAGGAAGGGTGTAGGGGGAGGAGAAGTAGAGGACATAAACCCACATCCATAAAAACTCCAATCTGAAAGCAGACTGGGTTCTCAGTGCTTTTTTCAAGATGCCCGCCTGGTCTGTCAGATATACTTTTTACATTATTTCACATCATCAAACTTGGCTAGCATGTTTCCTGCTCAAAAAATAAAAACAAAAACAAAAACAAAAATTTTAAAAACATAGTTCCAGAGGCATGTGCTTGTTCTAACAGTTGACACCACTTGGTATACCACATCCTTTATCAGAGTGCCAGAGTTTGAATCTTGGCTCTCCTTCCAATTCCAGCTTCCTGGTAGCAAGTGATGGTTCAAGCAGTTGGGTCCTTGCCACACATATGCGAGACCTGGATTGAGTTCCCAGCTCCTGGCTTCAGCATGACCCAACTTTACTACTGTGGACATTGGGAGGTGAATCAGCGGAAGGAAGATGTCTTTGTCTCTATCTCTATCACTCTCTTTTTCTCTCTAATAAATAAAATAAATTTTAAAATTAAAAATAAATACTTTTACTTAAGTAATGCTGAAAGGACAATAGAAAGTCACTTTGTGCAATGGATAATAAGATCTAGGAAACAATTATGAATGGATGCTAAAAGCAATAGATAAAATGTTACGTCTAAGGAAATCAAGCTTTAACACATGAACCCACTGATAAATCTCAGCATCATTAATGAGACAACCAGGTATTATGTGCCTCATTAAGTACTACAAAATATTCTGGGCTCAAAAACAGACAAGCAAAACTCTTTCTGGTCCTAATCTAAGATCTAAATACCAGCTTACAAAAATAGGGGAAAATGAGGAATGAAATGAATAGTGCAATGAAAATGATCATAGATAGAACACCAGACATTCAAAAGGACTCCTAACTGGTTTCTTCATTAAATCAATTACATGAAAGAAAAAGAGCTTTGTTAGACAATTAAAGACATTTTAAAGGTACACAAAAAATGCAGTTCAGAGCTTGATTCAAAACCTATTATAAACAGACATCTTGGAGACAATATGGATCTTCTGAATACTGACTTAGTATTAAGTTATATTAAGAAGTAAGTATTCAATTCTATTAGCTGTATTAATGTCTTCCCATTGAATAATCAAATAAGCAAACAAAATCCAATGGCTTTGTCAGTTAGACATACTGAAACATCTATAGTTAAAACGTTAGCTGACCTGGGGTTTGATTTAAAATATTTCAGGTTACAAAAAAATGGGTTAATTGTATAAAAGAGAGACAAAATATTGATAATTGTAGACTGAGGTTTAATCATGTTAATCATATTAACCATATTAATCTACTTTTGTGTAACATATGTGGTTAGTGATAAAAAAAAAGAAGGCAGATCAAAAGTAGGAGATAGTGGGAAAAATAGGTGAGGATCAATGATTATGCTAATATGGTAAGTACACAGTTAACTATGAAACAGTGGTAACTTATTAAAATAGAAGTAAAGTTTAAGCACAGAGGGAATGCTAGTGCCTCAAACTTAGCAGTTGCTATGTGGATTACAAATGCTGGGAACCTGCAATGTAAATAGTTTTCTATTTATGGGGTATCCCTCTTTAGTCTGTAACTTCCCCAAACTAGAGTTGCACGTGAAGCATCCTGCTAAAACCAAGATTAAGATCTCCTTCTTATGGTCATTACATGAGACTTGCATCTGTAGTTCATCTATAAAGCTAACTTTTTTAAAAAACTAATCACCTCAATTTAAGAGACTTTTAAAGCAACTTTACTCTGAATTTATAAATACAAAGAAAGGAAAAAAAAAATTGAGTTCTGTTACCTTACCCTAGGATGTATGGAGAAGGCAATCCCATAAGACTTGGCTTGTCACATTCAATTGAGCTAGTGTAGAAGCAATTTGTTACAAGCAGATGGATAGTTGAACATTAAAAAAGATGATAAACTAGAAAGAAATTAGATATTGAAACAATTTCTTTTAGACTTACCGTGAAACTTCAGTTTCATCCAAACAATTGTCTTTGAAGAAGGGGATAAAAAAAAAAGCCATACTAAGATGCATGCCCATGAAAAAAGAACTTTACACATGCTATAGCCTTTATAGTCACCATTTACTTGATTGGTCCAAATATTTATAGTTCATTGTTATGACTGCCAAAACTGGCAACCACAGGATTGTTGTCTCAATTAGGACAGTAAACAGATTGTCTCTTTTTTTAATGAAAAAATCTAAAATGTAATACTTCACAGTTTAACATGTTTATTCATCTAAACGAGCGAAAAAATAATGGTGCGACATCTGTTCAAGAAGCATTGGTACCTCAAATTTTGGCTGCCTCCCCACCAATTTGGTTGTTGTTTTAAAAAATGGAGAATAGGAGGGGGTACTGTCATCAAAAAAATCTTCTGGCATGTAAAGTGTCTTATTTTTCTTGAAATAAGAATCTCATATCTGTTGCTAAGGATGAAAAAAAAAGTGTCTGACAAGGAGGCACTGTGCTGCATATGGCTGCAGTTCAATTCTTTTAAATGAACTAGTGACCCACTATGGATATTTCCACACTGGCCCAGTTCTTCACATGACTCTCCCAGTTCCCTTTACCCTTACCTGTATGGCTAACCCATGAACAACATGGTAAGACTGTTTCTATGAGCATTAAATTCATTTGCTACTTTTTTTTTTTTTCACTGTGGGTTGCACTAATGCTAGATGTGGTATCAAGTGGAACAAAATCTAGCAAACAACCAAACCAGGCTACATTGGAATAATTCTAACAAAAGAAGGCAGTGCTGCTAAGGGAGAGGTGGTAGGAATCTCCCCAGAAATGCCTCAGGTAAGTGTAACAAAATCTAATTGTTGTTAAAGGGAGAATATAAAAATATCTTAGGTAGTCTCTGGTTCAACAACATTATGGTATGGATGAAATACATTAAAATTGAATGAATTTAATCTCTGTAATTTTTTTTTGAAGCTTGTCTATAGCACAGTTTGTTTTACTGAATTATCATTGACTATATAATTTTAGAACTTGGACAATATAGTGCTTAATATTTGCACAAACATTATAATGGAAACTTTATTTTCAGTTGGAGTGAATTCAAACTTTGAGTATGGTTTTAATAAATACTAGGATAAAATAACATATTTTTTTTCCTAAAAAAGAGCACTACTTCTATACTTAATGCAGTTTTCTTGATCTTAAAGAGAATAAGGATGAAACATGTCAGGCCCAAGACAATCAATGTCCATACATGCTAAAGGCTATGAGTTGATCAATACTGTGAATTTAATTTTTTATTCATTTCACTCAAACAATTTTTGATCATCTACTACACATGAAGAATTGTGTCAGACTCTGAGAGGACAAAAAGACATTAACTTACATTTTAACATGCATTTATTAATTTATTAACAGATTACTACACAACTAGAATTATAGAAATGAATAAGCACAGACACTATGATATTCAATCACTAGTTATGTGACAGTATTTGTTTTCTTTTTAAGAAAAAAATAAAAAGAAAATCATGAAGATTTTGCCATCTTAAAAGAACAACCTTATAATTGCAGTAAAGTGGGATTCTTGTTAAAAATACAATTTGTGGATGAGGTTATATTTTATAATATTTCCTCTCAAATAAATTTGTATGTTCTTTACCCTGGTCTAAGCTTGCATGCAAAATAAGAACTGTGAACTCCCTCACAGTGCTCCATAGACTATACTTTAAGTCTGCTGCACTCATGAAAATTTACTCTGCAGAATATGTTAACAAACACATTCTAACACCCTGAAAAGTCATTATTATTTTTTCGTTTCTGTTTTCTGAATTACCTTGGACAGTGAATTACTGGGGGTGGTATGGGTATGGATATCCATGTGTAAAATTTGTGTCTGATGCCAGTCTCAGATTTACGCCAAATACCACTCACTTACTATTCAGCAGTGTGGTCCCCTGAAACAGCCAAAAGATATCACCTTTCTGTCTTCAAAGATTCAAACCAGACTTTCAATCTGGAATTTCTTTACAGAGGATTGGCTGCTTCCCAATTAATGTGAATTCACAAAATTTGCATTTCACAAAAACAGTGTTGTATAAACATAGATTGTCTCACTTTACCTGCTATTTACTGAAATCAAAAAGTATAGCATTTAGGATTGATAGTTCTCTCGGGCCATCATAAATCAACACATCATACAAAAGGACCATCGATAGACTCAAGATATCAATAAAATAAGGCAATGAAACTTGCCTACAATTAAACTATATTTAGACTAATATTTAGTATTATCAGAAATAGCATCTTTTTTTTCCCAAAAGAAAACCTCAATAATAGAGCAGAATAGTAAAATGTTTTCAGTGTGATGAATTTTGAAACATTTCCAATTGCATAATCATCTATTTTAAATACAGTAAACTGTTCTTTCTTACCTGGATAGTTATCTAATACTTGAAAGAAATGATTACATTTTCTTTCATTTTAATTACTCCTGAAAACAAGAAATAATCTTTATTTAATATGACTGTTTTTAACACCATATGGGAGGGGAAATAACTAAATGAAAATTACTCACATAAATGTGTTGGGAGTGGGGGAAAGAAGTCTTTCTTGACATGTGGCATGTCACTCAGGAAAGTAAAAGGCCCATCATATCCAAAATGCCAGCTTGGATATTCCCTTGCCTCCCACTCCACGAACAGACATACCACATGGCATTAAATGCTGCAACCTTTCCTAAAAATGCCACTTGGATTGGTCCACAGTGGTGAGTATATAAGAACTCTTGGTCTGTCTCTTGAGTTTGTGAGCTCAAGGGGAAGAATTCAGTAAATAACACTGTTAAATCTTGCCCTCAGATGTTTGGCATAAATAATTTGTGAGGAAATTGGAAGCTTTGGCTGTTTTCAGACCGATGAAATAAATTACGCTAGTTGAAAAAATTCTACGTAACATAACACTACATGGTCATATTCACTTTTTTGCAAAAGTACCAAAGAACTTTTTATTTTCCTTTCAGAAACTGTGCTTATAAATATCTTCCTAGAGGTTTTATCAAAGCTTTCTTCTCTTGGCCATATGTAAGCAAACCTAATTGTTTATTCTTCATAAATACAAAATATATTCTATAAAATATTTTGTACCCATATTTCAAATTATTAATTTTCTATGCATTTTTATAGAGGGTAGTACTTAAGAACACATGTGTTGCTAGATATTTTCTAGTTTTCTAATCTTTACATGCCCATTTGCCTTAAAAATATATTTTAAAATTTGATTACTAGTGAAAACATTGAATATACTGGTTATTATGCACAAACAAATGCAAATAACATTGAAAACAATTATATAAACAGAAATCTATGTGTGAGAGTAAAATGAGGCATGTATTCCATTTATTTTTCATGAAGAGTTTTAATTTATTAATTTTCAAGAGACAAAATGTAATTTTATAAAATAACTTTGTATTATTCAGATTCAGGAGATAACCCATGAAAATGATTATGGATATGTAGGATTTCTTTTACTGCTGTGCAAAAAAGATGGCACAATTCAATGACAGACTGTTACATATCTTCCTAATAAAGGGGCAAACTGATACTGCAAGCTGCCAGACAGCATAATTAAAACAGAATTCCAGGTTTATATTAATAGAGTAATAAGTTAATTAAAATCAAGATCCAATGAACTTTCTACTTACACTAGTTCAAATAGCCCAAGAGGAAAGGAACTATATTTTAGAGACATATGTGACTCTTTGAGCTTCTGTCATCCAGGTGCCATTTCTGATGGAACACATGTGTGTTGAACAGTTGGCAAAAAAAGGAAAAAGATTACTGTAGATGTATGTGCAGATAGTCTCTCTAATGATATAAAATATGTCTGAAAAGAATGAAGGGTTTCTTTGTAAAATAAAAATTTCCCATGACTTTTTGTTCTCATTTAGGTTCTGAATGTGATTTATGTTTCTGTAAATGAAGCTATATACTTTTACTTATGAAACACTCAGATATAGAACAAAAATTAATTTAGTAATCTACAAGTGATGGAGTTATACAATAAACTTGTTATACCTTAAAAAATTAGGATCTGTTTTCCATTTTATCTAAATGTTCCATGGATACCTATCAAAGCAGAAAGATTTTATAAAAGTACTTGGTGGCATATATTATACTACATTGCTAGGTAAGGTTCTTTTCTTGATATCCTAGGCAATTATTTAAAAGGATATTTCTGCAAAATGAAAATATCAGAAGAAAGAATTCAAAATGTTGCAGTGTCAGTACTTCAGAAAGTATTGGTCCCAAAGGTGCTTTTATAATATTATTTCCATTTCAGGCATTGATTACTGTTCAGCTAATCCTCATCTGGGTCCAGATCAGAGTCAACATCTGAAGACAGTCTGAGATAAAAGAAAGCATAGAAAGCCAGTAGCAGGGCCAATATAGCTGCAAGTACAAGGCCAACTTCCTGGGGAGACAAAAAAAAGGAGATTTGATATTGATGAAAAGAGACTGCTTAATGCTATCAGTTTCATCAGATAAAATAATCATATTATTCCACTATTTAGAATGCATTATATGAACATATTACTTTTTAAAAAACATTTTTACCATTAAGAAATTTGTTTTGTCCTTGACAATACCCATTGCAATGGCAAATATGTCAATGGGTAAGTTATTTCTATTATTAATTCTAGTTAACTTAGGTTTTTCTTTTCCTGTTAGTAAAATTAAAATTTATCACTTTAATATCATTTCATGGTTTACATATCAAAATGTTGAATGCAAACAGTAAGGTTGATGCCTTAAGTTTTTCTCTTATTTGAGTGTGTTTAACTGTTTTTGTTGTTTCAATACATTGGTCTTTAGTAATAGCATTTAGACACAGATTTTTAAAAAATATTATTCCTTTACTATTGTGAAGAAATAGTATTACAACCAGCTGCTACATTGTTTTTATATACAACTTCATTAAATATCACTTTTTTGAAATTATAATTTTTAAATTCTAAATTCTGTAGTTATTGCTGTGGAAGATCAAAACTGAGTATTCTTAGCTTATGAAACATGATAAAATACAACGACTTGTGTTATGAACAGTGGCCCTTAATACTTAATTTTGGAATTTGATATGGATTTATTCATCAACTATATTGAAATAATGACCAAAATTTACCACATATTCCATGACAAAATCTTATCTCACAAAAGTGTGAATATATATATATATATATACACACACACACACACACACACACACATTCATGCTTATGTGTCTGCATATATTGTCTAGAAACACTCTCATTGGTGATATATCATCTGGTCAAGAAGAAAATGAAAGAAACACAGTGCTTGCTCAGTATCCTAAAGTGCCTAATATTCCCTTGTAGCTCCACTTGTGTATCACACTCCTTACCTAGAAATGTTTTATGGAGAAGCAATTTGTTTACATTTACATGAATAAATATCACATTTCATATGAATGTAAAATCAGTAATCCAAAATATACCATCTAATAAACTTTAAAATATTATAATGAATTTGGACTATAATCAACATAGAATTTTTACCTATATGTCAAAATTACAAACTGATATTTTAAACAGAGTTTTATCTGCATAATTATATTTACTTAGATGTCCAAACTGTGAAAAAAACACTAAAAAGACCGTGGGGTTGAAAAACTCAGTGTCAACAATTTGATTTGATATTTTAAATTTAATATATCAATATAACGTCAAATGAGAGTGAATTTTTCTTTGTTACAGTTGGAACACTTTGGTATCTCAAAAGGGCATGGCGGCATCAGACAGGTTTCATTTATTTTCTTAAATCCACAGCTGTGCTCCCAGACCCATCTGGTTATACAGCTACTAATTTTAAGAGGATGTAATAAACAAGTGACACACAACTGCAAACTCCATCTGTTCTATATAGTGGACAACAAAACTGTCCAACAGCAGACACCATTCACCCAAGCTTAATGCAAGAATAAAGTTTTTACTCTTGATTGGAGGCCAGCTTATTGATAATTAACTCTAATTGCTGTTTTCAACTCCTTCTTGTCCTTAAAACAACTCTATAGAGTCTTCTCTGTATACTTTTTGAATATCCAGAGGCATGAAAAAAGAATTTTAAGTGTAAGAAGCAGAGAATATTCATAATATACAACTCAGATACACACTAATTCCGTTAGATTTCTTCAATACATGATATAGGGGTATGTGAAAATGTTTGGGTGGGAAGTTATAACAAACAGTTGTCTTCGAAATGCCCCTATGTTCTGAGAAGACAAGCATTGAGCAGGCTGAATGTTTGGAGGGTTAAAACAACGTTAAAATTTGAAAATCATGCTTTCAGCATGCTGGTGACACTAATCAGAAGTTTTAGACCTGCAGACATTTATGATTCCTCCTGCCCCTTGGCCATTTTTACCTTTAAATCAGAAAACAATAACTGAGCAAATAACATTTCAAGTTGCTTACCCCAAGGGGTTATTGGCAACATGAGACTGACACTGAACAATTTTAATGTAATACAACTAAATTTTTATATTGATCCTTTTATTATGATTATGCTTTTCACATAAACCTTTAAATCAAATTAATTAAAAATATAGACAATTTCCTTCTAAATGCAAGGAAACACAGCTATTTGCATTCCAAAAAATTATTGATGCTGTATTTATTAATAATCCCCTAATTAAGCAGTAACCAAATAGTAAACTTAATGGTGTAAATATTTTTGGGTGGCTCTCATTGCATTAATGGCTATAAATTATGTATGACATTTTATGTGCATTTTTAAAGCACAAGAAATAACAATAACTTACCTATAGAGATTAACTCTAATCTTGAACATAATTCATTCATTTGTTATGCTAAAATTATTGCTTTTTCTCCCCAAAATATTTCCTATTACTAAACATACATATTACTAAAGATATGTATTTATATGTATATATGTTTGTATGTATGTGTGTATATGTGTATATATATATATATATGTATATATGCTTAGTAAGCACTAGAATCCTACAAGAATAAAGGGCCTACTGTGCAATTCTTTCTATTTCAAGCCCATGACTTTTCAATCTGTAGGGTAGATTTGACATAATAATAATATCTGGAAATATTTTCTTGTGCAGATTCTAACAAGGTGATCATGTCATGTCACATTCTTCATTCTTTAGACAGAATCTGTACCATTATAGTATCTATAACAATTTCTAAATACATATTTATATGTACTTATATATTTATTTATACAAAAAGAAATGTGGCTAATTCTAATAAATATACCCTCAATCAGCTAATAATGAATAAATTCTATATGGTAAGGCCCATATTTCACTGTATTGTTTATGCTGACAACCTGTGAATAGGTGAATAATATAATTTCCATTTTACAAAGATGGCAGCCTCGATTTATACCATTGATGGCAACAGTGAGGAGCAGAAGAGATATGATACTGGGCCTTTTCATCATTTTGTTGTCATTGCTATTGATTTTCTATTCCATCACTTATTAATATTTTTGTAGATTTAAATTATTAGAAGAATATAATTATGATTCATTAAAAATAATATGTAGCAAAAAGATAAAATATTATAATATTATGATCATTCTATATCAACTAGCTAAGAGTCAAACATATTTGATGTTCATTAGTCCTTAGTTGCTTCTATGACATTATCAATATGGATAAAATCACTCACTGGGGAAATTAAAAAGCATTAAATGGCAATTGCTGAAGGAAACTTTATTATTTAAAATCCTATGCCAAAATGACAAGGCAATCAAAGTTTGACAGGGCAAACTAATTAGTATGCCAGATTTGAAATGGAAAACATTGCCATGGTTCTGATTATAAAAAGTTTTCTATCATCTTAATGGGCCCTTCACATAAATTTTCTAGCAAAGTAAACAGAATTTAAGGTTAAGGTCCTGTTTTCCATAGGTTTACAAATCAAGACAATATACTAGCTTATTAAAATGAGATATGTTCTAATGTTAGAAACTCTTCTATATAAGTTGCAAATGAAATCTAAGAAAAAATTTTCTAATAAAATGATAAACATATTTGACATTGTTTTAAAAAAGGCAACTGGAGGACATCATACTGAGTGAAATAAGCTGGACACAGAAAGACAAATACAGTATGTTCTACTTTATATATGGGAGTTAGAAATTAAAAAAAAAGAAAAAAGAAAAAAAAGAAAAAATGCCTGTACATCTTAGTACTGCTGTAAATAGTTTTATAAATCTTTGTCTTGTACTTTTGTCAAATCCATGGTTAAGAATCTTATATATTACAGTTTTAATGATCTGTGACTACTTTAAAATTTACTGTATATGAGTGAAATGGCCATTTTCAATCCAATTACTGTTTACAGCCTCACCTATATTCCCAATAAACTGGGTCTTATTGCTTTTTTCTTTATTAAACTTCTTATTTGGTGAAACAGTAAGTCTTTGACTATAATGTAAATTTAAAACATGTTATTTCAAAAATAGGAAAAAGAAAGAAAAAAAGAAGGAAAGAAGGGAGGGAGGGATGGAGGAAGGGAGGGAGGGAGGGAGAAGGAAAAGAAAAATTAAGGGAAGGAAGAAAAAGGAAGGAAGCAAGTAAGGTAGGGAGGGAGTAAATATTATATGCTTAGAATTGTATCTATGAACTATATTGAGTCTATTAAAAATTAAAAATTTTTTTAAAACTAAAAATTTCAAAAAAGGAAAAAGGCATTAGATAATTGCATGACTAAGATAGACTTTATCTCATATTGAGAACAAACTTATTTCTTCAAATTAAAACAATATCAAAAATTATAAGAGCAAATATGAAAAGGGACATGTATAAAAAGATGGGATATAAATAAATGAATAGCTCTAAATTTCTCAAATTGTAATACATAACTTCTCATTGCATTATGTCACAGGTGGATTTTGTTACCCTAGTATCTTTCTAAAAAAATAAACAAAAAATCACTAACCCAATTGTGAAAGATAAAAATAAGGGATGCACTGCCTTGGAAGACAATGAACAATACTCACAATATAAGAGACAATCATTGAATAACTTTATGTAAAACTTAAAAACTAAGCAATGCTTATAGAAAAGTCATATTATCTAAATATTGTTAAAGGATGAATGAAATTTCATATGAAATTATATAAGAGACAAACGATTAATTTTTATTGTTCAAACCTTCTTTTCATTAAAAACTGACACATAGCACTGACGAGATTGTGTTATGAAAACATACCACATCTCAACAGTAATGCTTGATCAAAATCAGCAATCAGGAGTGAAAAGAAGGCAATGCTTCATGATCATAATAGCAAATTCTGGAAGACAACCAAATATATCATCTGGCAGTTCAACAGCTGTTACAGCTTGGTAGTAATACCTTGGCATTTGCTATAAGCTATAACTTAGAAAAATTGATTTTTCATCTGCCAGATAAAAACTAAAATCTCCTTTTAACATTTTAATGTTTAAATAAAATATATGTACTGGCCATTTTTATTTTACACATTTGGTAGTAGGACTGCCAAATTAATTTTTCTATTAATAGCTGAATTCAGCTCTAAATACTTGGCAATAAATTGACATAAGTAATAATGTAAATGTAATTTTGTTGAACTCATTGTACTGGCACATTGAATTAATGTCTGCTAACATCATTCTCAGTTGCATTTATCCCTCGTAAGCAGATAAAACACAGGTTTTGTAAAAGAACAAGTTTGAGAACATCATTAGAATTTCATCAGAGAGTACTGACAACAGCAACAAGATACACAGTAAAACTGTATGTGTTAGTGATCTAAATATATATACTAACAATTTTATTTTAAATAACCATAAAATGAATTTTTTAAAAGTGAGGTTTTTTTTTTTTTTAACTAAGTCCACTGCATCATTGAATTGTTTGAACAAAACAAGAGAAAAAATAAATCGAAACGTTAAGTATCACTGGTTCTCTTAAGTGACACTGTATTTTATTTTAAGATCCATTAAAATCTCAGGATAGGAAGGATGTGTTCCATTAAGTAAAATCTTTATAAAAAAATCTTCAATTCAAACACTCTATCTAGGTTTTAACATGTCATAAAACACATAGAACTCAACATTTATGCAACCCAGTTATAGTAAATGAAATGGCATACACATATCCAAATTTAAAGTGTCAAATAGAGGTCTACCTTTATGCCTATTGCTGTTTTCCTTGCTTCTGCTTTTAATTTGGTTGCTCGTAAAATAGGTTTGGTTTTTTTATAATCCTGTTTACCTAGAAAGAAATAGTTTCAGACAATGAGTTATGCTTATATATAATTCAAATTTAACAGTTGTCTGAAATGTCAAAGAATGTTTAAATAGAGTAAAACAGGGACACAGAGTTGCAAAGTACTTCCCAGTAGTGATAACTATAAACTTGTCACCTAAAGGTCAACATTTCCTCCTCTCTTATTTTTTCAGAAAGAAGATTCTGACAGATATCCTTGATTTGATGTGCAATGAAAGTCAGAAAAGATAAAATCTGAGAGTAAGTTGAATGTAAAAATAGTAAACCTTTTAGAAGCATTTGGAAAGAAATGTGTAAATAACTGAGTATATGTAAAATCTTATTAACAAATAAAGTTAACTTTGTATTCCTAATTGAATAGTGATAACCTAGTATAAACATATTTTATTAAGGAATACATTAAGTATTCAAATAAGTAATTTGAGGAATATTCCTTAATTTCCTAAAAAAAGAGATGAACAAAGAACTTTATACATAAAACTTTTAGTCCCTTGAATTCATTAGAAAATATGGATTTAATTTTTATTTCCTCTTGACAGAAGACAGACTAAATGTAGGTAGATTTAAAAATGCATCTAAGGTTCAATCATATCCACCTCCATTTACAGCCAAGGATGAACAAAACAGAGAGTTTCACAAAATTTCCTTTTTGGTATACCATCTGGTGACCCTACCAATAAGTAACAAGAATTACCACTCTGGGGAGAAACAGATTTAACAACAAGAATGTTGATAAGAATAATATATATTTCTAAGCAAACTCTTAAGTAATAAATGAGTCAAATGAGTCTCAAACATAATAAAATGATATGTTATTCTTAGTAGGAGTTAACATATGACTATGTAATTTCTCTAGCTATTTTATATTCTCCTTATTTTGCTTTTCTATTTTATCTTATTTCCCTTTCCTCACCATGACCCGTTTATTTGCACGATTTATCCATACATTTCCTTTATCTTAATAATACAATTTCTAACTTTAATTTCCACATTTTCTTCACATTGAGATGAATCTGAAAACAACTGTATAATATAGCATAAAATTGAAAGCACAATAAGTATATTTCTTGATGTATGTTAATGATTCAAAGGTAATAAAATTTCTAATACATTTAGATTAGAGTTGGCAGAGAGAAGTGAGTCAAAGGGATGGGAGTGATGAAGAAATTCTGTATTTGTATTCATTAAATAAATTAAAGTGTTTGGCTAAAGACATATACATATATATTTTTCTTAAGATTTTATTTATTTATTTGAAAGTCAGAGTTGAGAAAGAGAGAGAGAAGGAGAGAGGGAGAAGAGAGGGAGAGAGGGAGAGGAAGAGGGAGAGAGATCTTCATGCCCTGGTTCACTCCCAAATGGCTGTAGTGGCTGGAGCTGGGTCTCCCCTGGTGAGACTGCAGCTTAACCTACTGTGCCACAGTGCTGGCCCCTATATTATGTATATTTTTAAAAAGATCATATGCTCTTAACTGTCATTGTAGGGCAGTCACTCTGAATCACTCTGAATCTATAAACATGCAGAAGCTTAATAAATATTACTTGATGATGGAGTTCAATGATTCAGAAATGAGTCATTTGTAAAAATATGTATCAAATGATCTAAATTTAGATCATACAATAAACAAAATACAGAAAAAATATTACTCTGAATCATTTTAAATTAGCAACATTTAATTTTGCTGAAAAAATCTTGACAAGTATTCACACCAATTTCACATCTCAACAATCAATTTATTCATGTCATTGTTCCTGCTGAGATATAAATAGCTCAGTACAATGAAAATGGTGACACATCAAATGCCTACACTCACAATTATAAAGCAAGTTTCTACTGAGAGTCTCAAAAGAAATTTGTAGATTACAAATGTGAAGCCAAAAACTATTTTTTTTTTGCTGTATATATTCTATTGTAATCTCTGGGCACACTGTGAAAAAGAGAAACAAAAGAAAAAGGATTATTCTATCTTATACACTTCTCATAGAAGTATGCAATATTTTAGATAGCATGTATGTCACAAAATAGAGTCATGTACACTCAAAGACTCTGCTTAAAGTAAGAATTTATCACTCCATTTCAAGTAAAGTACTCTGTTTCAATTCAACTTTCTTAGAGAATAATACTTTCATATATTAATGAAGTTGATGTGAACATTTGCAATTATATTTTAATAAGTATATGCAGTTAAATAATATTGTACACCTGGTACTTCTCCAGTGTGTCTGTCATTAATTTTGCATTCTTTTTGCTATGACATCTAAAATTATCTAAAATTACAACATGGGACTTTGATCTATCAAGGGCAAAATGTACAGGGCAATCTGTTAAATTCTTTATATTGAAACTAGATTATTTCATTGTGTTCAAAGTTTTCAACATTTGGATTTTTATGTCTTCAAGAAAGATACCCATGCCTACATGACTGTAAAAAAATATATGAAATACAGAAGTCTCTGCCTTCTGAACACTTATATCTAGAAAAAACACACCTAGATAATCTAGATTTTGACTGTTTCTTGAACACAATTAAGTCTGATTTTAGTTACTGCATCAATAATGCAATAAACAAACTATTTAACAGTTGCTCATTAAATTTTATGTGGAGAATAAAATTTGATAATTCAAGCCTATGGAGCAAAACTGGAAATTCAATGTCAGCATTTATGTGTACTTCTTTTCTATTTAACTATGCAATCACCTTTACTGGAGTTAATTCATTTTATATTTGTGTGTGGATTTATGTTATTGCCTAGTCCACATTTATTTCAACCTAAAGTACTTCTTTTCGTATTTCTTTTAGAGCAACAACATATTTATGAGTCTTGTTTTTCCAAAAAATGTCTTTATTTCTCCTTTTTCAATAGGATAGTTGTGCATGATATAAAATTCAGGCTTGACAGCCTTTTGGTATGAGCATATTATAAATAAACTCCTAATGTTTTCAATATTCACTTTCCATGTTAGGCATTCAGTAGTTTAACTATGATAACACCAGGTGTGAATACCCTTACATTTACTCAGTATTTATTGAGATATACTGGATTGAGTTTATTGGCTATATAAAGTAATAATTTTCATCAACTTGTGGAAATTTCTGGCCATTATTGTTTTAAATATTTTTTACTCCCCTTTCTCCTCCTCTTCTCCTGGAACTCTCATCATTTATATGTAGTCATGCTTAATAGTGCCTTATAGGATTATGTGTCTCTGTTAATTTTGTGTCATTCTTTCTTTTTCACCATCCTGACTAGGCAATTTCAACTGATTCTGCTTATATCCCTTGAATCTTTCATTTGCCAGTTGAAATTAGATGTAGGTCCCATTTAAAAATGTTTACATCAGTTATTGTATTTTTCAACTCCAGGATTTGTATTTTACATAAAGTAGAGTTGTTCCTCCATTTCCACAGCTTTCACACTTGTGGGTTTAACCAACTGTGAACTGAAAATATTCAGAAAAATAATTGTACATGTAATGAAGATATATAGACTCTTTCATTGTTCTCTAAATAGTATAACAGCTATTTACATAGCATATATTTTGTATTAGGTTTTGTAAATAATCTGGAGAAGATTTAAGGTATACAGGAGGATGTTCACAGGTGATATGTAAATAATACATCATTTTATTTAAGGGACCTTAACATCTGTAGATTTTGGTATTCATAGAGTCCTGGAACCACTTTTAATGAAGAGTTAAGGATGACTGCATATATAAATTTACAGATTACTGCTATTCTCTTATTTGGTAAGATAACATTCTCACTCTTTAATTCTTTAGACATGATTTAGTTTAGTTTTTGAAAATTTTAAAATATATTTTGCTGAAAGGAAGAGAGACAGAGACAGAGACAGAGCACCAAAGAGATATAGTGAGTGAGCCCCCAACATGGTTCACACCCCAAATGACCACAGGACTAGAACTAGGCTAGGCCAAAGCCCAGAACAAAGAGCTTAATCCAGGACTCTCACATGGGTAGCAGCGGTCCAATACTTGAAGCATTATGTTGTATCTCCCAGAGTGCACATAGCCAGGAAACTAGAATTGGAAGGGAAGCCAGGAGTTGAACCAGGCATTCTGATATAGGACACAGGAATCCCAGCCCTACACCAAATGCCCATCCTGATTATATTTTAAATGGCTGAGTCAAAGTTTTTGTCCAATAAGTCCATTGTTTGAGCATTCCTGGGAAGACTTTCAATTGCTTTTTCTGTGTATGAGTCATAATGTACAGCTTCTTTGTGTATTTCATGACTTATCACCAAAAATTTGATATATTTAGTAATATAATGCGGCAATTCTCTAAATCAGACTGCCCTTAGGGCTTGCTGTCCCTGTTTTTTTCTTCTTCTTTGGTTGTTGATTGTGTAGTTTTATCTAGTGACTTGTCTGTTCAAATTCTGCAAAATATATATGCTTCATTTATGTGCAGCTTTTGAAAACTTTGCTTAGTCAACATAGTGGTCACCAAATGATCGGATCGAGGCTTCTTTAAGTGCTTTGAACTAGTAAGTCTTCCCAATTGGCTGAGTGGTTTTGTGCATGTGTGTGTGTGTGTTTGTGTGTTCATTTTGGAGTGCAACCCCATGAATTAACAGGAGTTTTTACAGTCATGCCTTAATTTTATTTCTGCTTAAGAACCTGAGAGCTGGCAAGAAGTGAAAGATTACATGTTATTCATGTCCTAACTGGACATGGCATATCCCTGCAGATGCATATGCCCTTCTAAATTCCCAGGAATCTGCATCAGAGTCTTCTAAAGACTCTATGGGCAACTCATTGCCCAATTATTGCTTTTAAGTTTCTTGGTAAGCCTCATGCATAGCCCAAATTAGAAAGGCTGCCTCAGACAGCTGTGGTGTTAAACACTTATCACCAATTTTTTTTTTTTTTTTTTTGTCAAATGACAAGGGAGAAGACAAGTTCTCCAAAAAATGGGTTTTCAGTGAGCTGCCAGTTAAGCCAAATAGTGACAATTTCTTGAGGATGGGCGTTTTCTTCAGGTAGCCCCAAACCTAATTTTGCTTTCTTCAGTGGTTGCCAGGCTTGTTTTTCACAACTACTGGAGTTGTAAGGCTGTGAAGGAAGATGAGGATTAAGTTAAAATACCACACACAAAGCTATTCTTACTCAGATTTAGGTGTTTTCTGAAAACAAAAACCATTTTTTGGACTATAGTAAAACTTTAATTTCCAGATTTCTGAAAAGGTTGACTTTGACAATTTGTGGCAGTGTTCTT